TTTTTTTTGGATCATTATGATTTTCAACAAGATAAATTAGTGAATACGGAATATCTTTATTATTTTGTAATGTTTTCATTATAATACGGCATGCATTTTCTAAGGACTCGGCACCTTAAACCATGTAGACGTGTTAATAAATATATAACATCACGTAATATTCACAACCGATTACTAACCAGCAGTTTGGAGTGAAAGGTTGCTGAGAGTTTTTATTCTTCGATTATTTAAGACCTTTTCAGTGACTTCATGTACTATATTAATTATACCCCATACTGTACCATCTAGTTTATAAATTGGACTAAATGAGTAGTTAATGTATGTTTCTTCTTTATAGCTATCACGTTGTTGTACTATATAATAATCATCTTCATGTAGGCCTTTGCCTGATGCTCTTACTCTGTAAGAACAATCATATAAAATTTATTTAAATATTTATGAATAAAAATTAATTAGCTTAATAAATAGTAAAAATACCTGTTTAATTTTGGAAGCATAGTAGACAAATCAGACCAAATTTCTTTAGCTGGTTTTCCTAATGCTATTTTCATTTATAAAACAACCTAATTTAGCGAGTTTAATAACTATTCAGAAAAGAATTATATAATTGACCATAAGGATGCTTTGATTTTAGTGATGATATTGCCGCTATACAGATAATACGATTTTTATTACATAAATTTATTTAAATAGCCAAGAATGAAAAATCAAAAATTTAATTACCTTCATTGTATACTGTAGTCCAATCTGGACTCATATATATGAACGTGGGAAAATAATTTGCTGAGATTTACAGATAAATTGATGTAAATTATATAAATTCGCATATACATCTCAAATGTATCGGCAATTACCAGAATTGAGGCTCCCATGAATCCATAGGACCCAGTAAAGTCGATGACCAATCATAATTATATACCATGTCTAGAAAATGTGAATTCTCATTATTGCTAATGTTGTTGGTTAAAGGCAGTGACATATTTGAATGTTTAAGTTAATGGCCCGTAAGCTGACGTAGTCAGCGTAAGGGTTATTATCGCGAGGATCACTCATGACACGTGAAACCAAATAAG